CATCATCATCATCATTATTATTATTATTGTTATTATTATTATTATTATTATTATTATTATTATTATTATTACAATTTCAATAGACAATCAATGAATCAAGAATATCGGCTGAGATATGGCCATTTGAATATATGATTTCACCTTACATATAACTGTATTTTCGGCTCTGTTCTAGACATTATCGAACAGAACCAAAAATACAGTGATTTGTATGTCGAAATGTTATTAAAATGGCCAGCTGATATCTCAGCTGATATTTTACCTATTCTCGTCAAATTGTGTGTGTAAACGTCTTTTTTGATTGTCTAYCGAAATTAGAGCCAACATTTATTTTTTCGTGACGTCACATTTGAGTACTCCTTTTAAATGACTTTACTGAGCATTTAGATGTTGTATATGTTGATTATTTGGTCTTTGTTTGATTGTGACTTTTTTTTAATTCCTCAAAATGTGGCTGTCATGTTTAGTTTTAACAGATAACTTGTCTGCTTGACTTAGGAATACCAAGAATACCTAGAAATGGAGAAAAAATTACTAGAGGAACTTGGAATCCGTGAGGAATCTGAAGAGCTTCTACTGGATACATAAGATAAGTTGGTTGGTATCCATCGTATGGCCATCGTCTCTGGATTTTTCTGGTATCATCTTCATCTTTTATCAGTTTTTTGTGCATAAAGCTTTTTTTGAAGTCCATTAGTGTTATTGTCAGTTACTTTGAAGAATATAGTTAACAACGCACTTATCCCTAACTGTTTTGGGGGTAAGGGATTTCACGTTTTATAAACTTAGAAAAATAGTTATGTATAAATCATTTGTATTTATTTAAATAAATGCTATCAAGATCGCACTAATTAAAGTTTCTCTTGTTCACTTACCCTTTTAACTTGTTTTTTCCCCTGTTTCACCATCACCCAACTTTGTCTTAACCCAATGCTTCTTATCTTTTTTCCCTGTTTCCCTCATCCTCCTTGTCTTGTCCCTGCCCCCTCATCCTGTTTTTCATGTCCCTCTCCCCTCATCCAACTGGTTTATCCCTCTCCCCTCATCCTGCTTGTCATGTCCCTCTCCCCTCATCCTGCTTGTCATGTCCCTCTCCCCTCATCCTNTCCCTCTCCCCTCATCCTGCTTGTCATGTCCCTCTCCCCTCATCCTGCTTGTCATGTCCCTCTCCCCTCATCCTTCTGTCATCTATTGTCCCTCTTACCTCCTCGTGAAATAAACAGAATAGAAGTGGGTCCAGGTCTGGTAAAGGGAAAATCAAGACTCAAGGGAAAACAAAACTAACTAATTTCCCGAGGGACCAGACATTACGTGTTTTGTTATATAGCAATTGAGAAGTCGATTTACAGGGGAAAAAAATTGTTTTAGCAAGCTATTTAAATGCATGAAAGTGATGAATAATTTTACAATAAAAAAATACAACTACATCATGCGGTCGACGATCTGGCATTTCATCGCTAACAAAAAGTAAGGACAGTAGCAACAGCATTTTTAGCCGCCTCTTTCGTATTTTCCGAATGCTTTTTCTCGATGACAGTCTTTATTTCTTCTGTAGAAAGACTGGGAAATCTCTGTTTTTTTCTTAGGGTTCCACTCGTACTGAAAATTCCAACAAAATACCTGCTCTCACTTTGGTGTTTGTGCCGCAAAATATGGCCACCAGCTTTTTTCACGTTATGATCGCGTGCACTTGGTTCTTTTCACCATTCTTATCAAATGCGAATTGTATCCAGATCGGGAAACTTATTTCCCGGTCGAATAACCATTTAACGAAGTTCATTCGAATGTGTTCACGAGCAAAACTGTCAGGCTATAATACACAACTATAGCAATGTAATTATTTGTTTATCGTACACCTAAACAAAAAACAAAAAGAGTGCATGAAAAACAACCATCTTTATTGTAAACAAACAAACGTGAAAGTCACAACTCAAACCACTGACGCAAACCGCACAAGGGAAAAGAAAAATTTGTATCGAGCTGACATCAGCAAAAAAACGTTCAAAAGCGGTTCACAGACCCYGTATTATGTACTGAGCACACGAAAGCCGGTTGTAGAGTACAAGGGAAATTGAGTGTGTCGTACTTTCCGCAAATATTTTAAATCTGATGTCAGTGAAGTCTTGCAATCGGCATCTTCTGCAATTCCAAACACACACTGTATCAAATTTAATCAGTAATCCGATAATTATTAGTTATGCAGTTTCAAATCTGGTAAATAGTAGATTATACATCCATCTTTAATTTATAACTTGTTTACTTTGGTTTTCCTTTCTTTCTTTCTTTTTTTCGGTCTAGAAATATATTTCACCTTTTCAATTCTTTTCTAAATCCGTACAATATAATGCTTAACGAAATCATGGGGAAATTTATACAAAGTCTTAAAATCAAAAGTTTTTATTCACAAAATTTTACTCAACTCATTTTCAACCAAATATTTTGGTTTTGTGGTCAATGACATCATCATCTTGTGTGGACTTCTTTGAGAGCAATTGGTGCGGCGTATTAATCAAAATACGAAAACTTGTTTACTAGATAGGTTACTTCGGGTCCTACGTAATGTTTTTTGGTGTGCTATAAATCATTTGCTTGGAGAGATTTAAACAGAATTGACGTTGGCTGTTAGTGGGAGGAAGTGAATCTCGAAGACGTACAACTTGACTGAAGAAAGCCCGATAATATAGTCTAAGCCATTGTAGRCTGTTTGTTTTAAGCTTTCAAAATGGTCGTAATGGAAACTGGAATAATGCTTGGATCGGCAATGGTTTTTGGATACGTTTACTTAACGTTTCTAAAAAAGATGGTCAGAGAATCCGAAGACAACATGGAGAAAGATGAAGCTCGCAAAGAGTCGAAGAAAAAAACTCCAAAGTCAAAGAAAACAGACTGAATAAATTGGAAGTCAGGGCGTTTCTACGATGGAGCAAGTGTTTATGAAGCACCAAGACAAAGCTATTTCAAAACGTCTTGATCAAATTGAGCTCAGGGTGTGACATTCTATCAAACGGTTATATTCAGATTTGGACATATAATGGAACTAAACCTCTTGGAATAATAATGTTATAGCACAAAGAAATCCCTATTTAATATTGATTCAACGAGCAAGCTTTGGTATCAGTAGTTTAGAATAACAATATACAATTAATGCAAGTCGGTTTATTTTGTACAAATAATATAAACACACACAAAGTTCTAATATTTTATAAGCTTTATGGATAATCGAATTAGTCTATACGAAATAAGATAAATATTCATTAAACAAGCGCGTGCACTTTCAGGATTTAGTTGCGTCTCCTAGCACGTAGTTTTGCTTAAACAGTGACGTAAAAAATTGTAGCAATTCAGATATTTATAAAATAAAATGAAATGAAATTACATGTATACAAAAATAAAAACCAAGCGCTTTCAAAAACCAAAAGGTTCGAAAATTGTGTTGTGCATCAATTAACTAAACTAGTTGTTARTACCGATTTTCACTTGGCATAATTAGTGATTCTAAACTAAAATTTCTACCTGTTTGTTTATTTTGTAAGTGAAGCTACGCGGAACGTACGAGCGATTGCAAACAAAAATTAGACTCCAAACGAAAAGTTAGTGAAAAACAAAACAAAAGTCGCCGTTTTCGCTAAAACTCTCAGTAATATCAAACATTTTTCAAATTCAAGGGCATCTACTTTGAGTTACGCACTCCTAAAGATATTAAAAATAAGTGCGTATATCTGCAGTGATAACTGAGTAATTCTGACCGATATATGTTGAGTGTGTTTTTCGGTTTTATTTTTCGCGCACCTTTACTAGTAATATGAGTTATATTCCAGTGTTCTGTTTACAAACACACGTCGGTGTTTGTTTTTATATCGATTAACTTAAAAACTTTTTTTTAAAATCAAAAGAATTGAAATTAGGCTTTTAATCAATGGGGAAAATACAAAGTCCAAGAGAAGTAGTGTGGGGAAATCTCCGAAATTTCAGTAGCAGAATTCGAAAATTAAAAAGCTGGTCTGTTTTAGTATAACTAGCACATGAATTTAAAATGTTATCCATTTGGTTAAGCGGTTTCAGTTCTAGCCAGAAACTTTCGTGCCAAATCCGGCTTTTATGACTGGGATGTTCTGATTGGTCAGTTTTGGTAAATGGCTGGAATGGATCCATTAAAGACATACAAATGTTTACGCGCCTGCTACACACCTCTAAACTTAAAAATCCAGCGTACCGTTAAGATTAAACGATTGTTCTGAAGTCACATAAGGAAAATAAACGGAAAATAAAGACAGCATCTGCAATGGTTCTTGTCTTGGAAATTGGAATCGCGTGTGGCTCTATTGTGCTTTTCGCAGCAATTCACACCAGAGTTATGAAGTTTATTGGGGGCAAGAATTGCAATGAAGAAGCGTGGTGTAAATATTCGTATCTCGATCCTTGGACATCAACTGGACTCCTACCGGAGGGATTAGGCGTCTACAGCAAGCCTCCTGCTCAAGATAAAGAACTAAGCAAAGCTCAAAATAAAATTGAAAATCCCAAAAACTGAGGTATTGAGATGGTAACTTGAACACATTGGCATGCAACAGAAATGCTTATGTACAGCAGCAACGTTCAAAGAGCGTTCAAGCCATTGCTAATGACTCTTATCATATCTTATGCAGTTAGTTTTGGTCATGTAAAGAGAGAAACGTTCAGTGGCTAGGGCTGCGTTGTCAATACGAAAAGGCGGCAAATTATATAGGACATAAATCTAATATATCTATAACTTTTTTATATTTATCACTTCAAACTACCATGGGATAATAAAAGAAATAATGCAAAGATCATGTTTTAAGAAAATTAATTCGTAATTAGTTGCAAGTCGTTACTTTGTTATTTATCATGATCAGTGATGGTTTCTTGCATAGATCAGTTATTTTTGCAACTTTTTCTAAAGTTTGATAGAAACGATAAAGAAGGAAAATAGAGACAAAGAAAATATCATCAGATTATGTCATTGTCTCTTGCAGAGTGCCACAAACTATGTTTTAGGTCCAATACTCTTTTTACTATGTATAAATGACATATTCGGCTTTTCACTCCACAGGAAGCCCATACAAGCTTTGAGAATTGAATGTAATTTAACGAAAGAAAAAATAATAAAAGCTAATATTTACTCACATGAGCAGCTGAGAATTTTGCGAACGCTGACCGAAAAATCGCGGGCTTCCACAAAAAATAGGCGTCATCCGTTCGAAAGATTCGAAAGAAAAGTTTAAGTTAAAGATACCCTTAAAATGAACTTATTTCGAACTCCGATCTTTTCGGACATTTATTTTATTCCTATAAAAATACAAAAGCATAGTTTTCCTGCAATAAGTAATTACGTATTTCCCGGTCGGGATACATTTAGATTTAACCAGTGTCACGTGGTCATCTTTCAACTAATTGAGAGTGCTCGTTATATCGGAAAATTTCGTAGCTATATAACAACAAATGATTCTGATAATAGCGAAAAATGGTCAGTGATGCCCAATGACGACAGATAGTATTCAATAATGTCCAATGATGTCCACTGATGGTAATGATTTTCAATGATGTCCAATGATGTTCAAGCGGATAACCAATGCTTGCAATGATGGTTAATGATGTCCAATGATGTCCAATGATGTTGAATGATGTCCAATGCTTGCAATGATGGTGAAGGATTCAACACATAACTTAAAACGGAAGCTCCAGAGATTTGCAAGAATCAACGATTTGGAACAATTGATCAGCACGTCTACCAGAGTCTGTAGCCAATCAAGCACAGCTATTGATCTTGTCTTTGTTAACAACAATCATCGTGTAGTCAAGAATGGTGTAATTCCCTCGACGATTAGTGACCAATAATATACTTAGATATATTTTATGCGCATTTCGATAGCTCCGTTTTTAATATTAAGTTGTATTATTATTTTTCATATTTATATTATTTAGATTTATTTAGATTATAATATTATATATTTATGGCACAATATTTAGCAGGACCTCTCTGAAAAACACCCTGGCAGAACCTTGGTGATGTGAGCCTCCTGCTTAAACATTGTTGTTATTATTATTACTATTATTATTATTAAGTTTTTATTATAGTATATTTCATTATAGTTTTTCTTTTTCTCTTTTTTTTTTTATATTATTATTATTATAAATAGATATATTTTTTATTGTANNNNATTATTATTATTATTATTATTATTATTATTATTATTATTATTACCATCATCATCATGCAAAGATACAACCCGTCATTACTAGAGCCCAGTCTATTTTATTTTTTCTTGACCGCGTCGAACCTTGGTGATGAGTGATCACTTCCGCCTCTCTCGAGCAAATTGTGTGTGGTTATCATTTTCGTGTTTTAGTTGCCTTGAATGGCAAGTTTTAACTCTCAGAAAGAGAACGAACCCTCTAGAACATAGTACAGTAATGTCTAGGTAAGCAAACTAAGTTGTCATTTCATGGATTCTGCGAATTTAAAGACTGGATCGCTCAACTCAAGCCTTGCATCAACATTGTGGACTTCACCAGTTGAAGACAGTTTTTCGTTTGTAAATTTCTCTTCGGAGCATATTTCTTCTCTACAAGAAAGTGGACCTTTCTTATCATTTGTCTTGTCTTACTGGGATAACATTCTTGGGCCAAGACTACGACATGTTTGGCTAGGGACATGCGAACAAATAGCACAAGAGAATTGCGTGAAGTATATTGTGTCACGTACTCTTAGTGGTGAACTTTTGCGTGACGCGCCAGAAAATATGGTCGATACAAAACTGTTTATTCTCAAAGAAAAAGACATTGTTTGTCACTCGTTTATCTTCACTGGAAAGGATAAGTCCGGCAATAATATTTCGACATTTTCCCTTATCATTCCTTATATAGAGTTTAAGAATTATTTACCATTTGTTGAACTTGTGGAGGAAAGGTTTAAAATTCTTATTGCCAAGCTGCGAGTTCTTCAAACAAAGGTAGGTAATTTGAGTCTGTCGGAAAGTGCTATCCCAATAATTTTAGTAAACATAATAAGAAAATGAAAATTTTGGATTCACAATGACATTTGAAATGATATCTGCACAGATCTAATACCAGATAAATATTATGAAAATACCAGATATTTATCTTTACTTTCACATCCATTAATCAAATTATATAATATGTGTATTTTAATATATTTGTACGATGGCCGAGAAGGGACTTCAGACTTCAGACTTCAGACTTATTGTCACTCAAACCATGTGTCATTTCATATTTCTTTGTATAGAAATCAATCAATATGGCCGAAAAGGTAGAAATGAGGCTTTTTATCCTCTTACTACAATAGTTTCCATCGATGTTTTATATTTTATTGCTGAATAATTATTTTAAATGAATTTATACGACTTTGGGAATAACATTTCCTCCTTTTGACCACGTTTAATATGRCCGAATGGTTCGGACACTGTGAATACAACAATCATGGATCATGAAGATAATTTTGGATATAATTCCGGGGGGGGGGGGGTACTCTTGCCCGTTTAGGGTATGGATGTGCCGCTGAGCCCACTGAACCCTACCCTGTTCCAGAGTAAAATCGCTGAAATTCATACCCTTTTCCAGAGCAAGATCGCTAAAATCATAACCTGTTCCGGTATTGCGAAAATGGATACCCTGTTCTAGAGAGGAGAGAGCGTGATTTCATATACCCTGTCCCAGAGCGAGAGTGATTTTATATACCCTGCTCCAGAGTAGAATCGCTGAAAACTGCATACCCTGTTTGGCGGCAAATACCCGTATAGTGAATATAGGCGAGTACCTTCCCCCCACGGGATATAATGTACTCTATAAATACCTGTATTTATGCATGCATCTTGCAGCATGTTAATAGCTATCAAAAATCAATACACTTTTTGTATTGTGTTATTATATTCGTGCTGTCAGTAGTAAGTAAGTAAAACAAGGCCACAAACACGATATGTGTATAAGTCTGAAGTCTGAAGTCTGAAGTCCCTTCAGGGCTTATAAATTCATTTAAAATAATTATTTAGCAATAAAATATAAAACATCGATGGAAACTATTGTAGTAAAAGGATAAAAAGCCTCATTTCTACCTTTTCGGCCATATTGATTGATTTCTATACAAAGTAAATACAAAATGACATGTGGTTTGAGTGACCATAAGTCTGAAGTCTGAAGTCTGAAGTCTGAAGTCTGAATTCCGAAGTATGAAGCATGAAGTCTGAAGTCTGAAGTCCCTTCTCAGCCATCGTATATTTGACATATAATGCACACACTGATTGGCTGGCTACCATGTTTATATGAGAGGACATGACATGCTCATAACAAATCATTCAAAAATAATTTATCAAAATGATATAAAATGACATTTCACGTATCTGTATTGTTATGTAAAAACTCTGGGAGCTGTAGAGCACTTTAAAAGCAAAACATGATCTGGATCTACTCCCAAGCTCTCTTGTGCTCTAATAGCTCCCAGCATGTTTGTATCACGTCAGTAACACTACAACTGACTTATAGTAGATTGTTTATTGTCAGCAAGGTTCCTTCAAGAAGCAACTTGAAATAGCACTTAATGAAACAATAGACATTGCACTTTCACTATTTAAGGGGAAAATAAATTTAAATAGTACCATTTTACAGATTACAGTCCAACTACACCAGGCCACCCAGACAAATGTTCATACAAATTAGCCAATCACAATAGAGTATTTAAACAATAGAATCTGTACAAAATGTTCAATTTTTTTCATTTAATAGCAAATATTTTATTTTATACAAGAGTGTGTATGATAAGGAGTTAACGAAAAACAATTTCAAATCCTGAATTCATCAATTTATCTGTTATTCTGCATCGCAAATGTGATCTAATAATAATAGTTTTATTGCTTATATAGCACAAAAATTCATTAAAATATATGATCTAATGCGCTTTACAATCTTTACAATCATTAAGAATCAAACTATACTAAAACTATWTCTAAAATCATTTGTTGATTTGTGAATTTGATTTAAAATTTGTTTGGGTGACCTTGGTTGATGTACTGTAGTCGCACTGTAAGTATTTGCACTCTAATCTCATTGTAACCCTTTGTAAAAACTGCTTCATATAATTATAACGTATATAATAGAAAGAAAACCTTTAAATTGGTAGACGTACCCCAATGTTGGATGTTGAGTTTGAAATTACAGTGAAGACACTCAAACCATGAACTTTTTTTCAGGTTATTATTTCCTGAACATTGTACTTTTACTTTCAAACCCTATGAAATGAAGCTTTGAGTTCAAAGGTTATTTCCAAATTTTTAAATTTTTTTAAATGATGAAAAAACTCAAAAAGTTCGTGGTTTGATCGAGTGTCGATCCTCTCATTAAATTAAAGCATGGTTATAAAGCCCACATACCCTGGAGTTTTAAAAGTCATCATTATTAAGGGTATTCAAGTAACAAAATTATATTTTTAAAAAATGTCTAGCTATCTCTGTTACATAAATATCATCATATCGAGTCTCCTCTGGAGTCATGGTGGGCAACCATATCATCATGATTCCTTTCTATGGCTTATACAAGCAGGGGACGCCATACCTCTCTGCTCGGCAGATGGTTAGTATTAGGTGAGGCACTGAGGGTGCCTTCTCCTCAGTTATTTTAAGACCCTGAGTGTTGGTCTGGCAGGGACTTGAACCATGACCTCCCACACAACGGACCAACTCTCTTACCAACTTGGTGGCAGTAAAATAAAGCTGGATATAAAATCCCAGGAGTCTAATATAACTGTATATATAAATGTAACTATAATTTGTAATGAATTATATATCTCCTATTTCAGGAACTTTCTACAGCATGTTCAAGGTTTTCTGTATACCTTTCAAGATTTATACAGACGATTATATCTCTACAAAATGCTGCTATTCCTGAGGAAATCCAGGTAACATTGAAAACATGTATGTTCTAAATGTGTGAGAGTTTGGAGGACAAAACTATAGGTATAATGTATAGAATTCAATTCAAAGATTCATGATAATTCATAAACAAGACACCCTATAGGTGTTCACTGGGTTGCCTGTATCATGCACAGAGGTGTAGTACAGCTGAAGAAGTTTGCAATGTTAACCAAAACATAACGGAATGTTTCACAGAAAAGAATGATTTCGATCAAATGTCCCAATGTTCTCAGTCAAAATCATCAATTAATTTTCTTATCTTTTTACCATTCTTTGTTATTATATTATTTACTGGGGTGGCTGTTTATTTTCCTTGTCAGAAAATGCAGAAATCTCGCAATAGTACCCAGGATGCATAGAAATTAATTTCAGACTAGCGATTCGCAGTCCCACCCTTAATCAATCACTTTGTTAAATTAGACATCGATTGGCAACTCTCACTTGAATATAAGACCTATTGATAATATTGCGCAATTTTGGCATTTTCTGACGCAGGAAAATACAGAGACATGCAACGCATTTTTAGACTGGACTGACACAGGCAACCCAGTAATTAATCGAACCTGCCCAGATATGTATGGTTATACTCCTGCATTATTACCCAAAGATTTCAGATTAATCTCATATATTTCTTTCATATATCATTCATTCTTAGCTTAGTGAGACAGCATTGAGACCTGGTCAAGATAACGAACCTTTTGATAAAGTCTTCTTGAGAAGGTATTTCCATATAACATAGTGGAATAATAATTAAGGACGTTCGTGGGCAAATTTCGTAAGTAGCACAGGTAATCCAAGCTACAGAGCTTACTGTAAACAGGAATGGTTCAACGGTATGTAGTTTGAATCTCAAAAACCCGCCTCCATGCCTACAAGGCATTTCTCCCCGTGGTCATCGAAGATCTTATCTGGGGTAATCAATGGGCCCATCAACATGTACTCTTCAGGTCAAACAACGAGGCTGTGAGTGCAATCCTAAATTCGAGAACCTCCAAATTTCCCATCATTATTCTTCTTTTCGCGGCTGCTAAGTTTAGCAATACGTTTTCGGCTCAGTGTGTTGCAGGTGAACAAAACACCATCGCTGACGCCTTGTCATCATTGACAGGTCGTCCACCAAGCATAAATATAAATAAAACCAAAGAATGTAAAACTCCTGTATTGTAAATTTTTATTTACATGATATCTGATCTCGTTAATTTAGGAGGAAATGATCTTCTTAAAAATTAAAACGAGAATGGAATGAACGAAACGTCCACGGATTCAAGAGTTTTCTCTTTTACATTTTTTGGTTTTTCTTTATTCGATTTTGATATTTTAAACTTTTATGACGAAATAAGATACATCATAAATAAACATTTAAGATGCAAGAGTCAGAGTTGGTGTTTCAACTTTTATGTATCCTATACAAAAATCGACGTCTTAATTTCAAGAAGAAATGGACTTTAATGTCTTTTAATGTTTATTTTTTATTCTTTACAGTCCCCATTTAAAAAACATGTTTACGACCATTTCAGGGTAATAACGCTACACATAATTACGGTCATAATTAAAGTCCAAATGTAGTAGTCCTGACTATTAACAGAGGGAAAAAATGTTGAAACTGGCTTAATCCAAAATCTACCTTCACAGGGCGAACGAGATATTACTTTCAAAGATCAACTAAGACTTTTTCTTACTTTATTTCGCAACATTTTTGAAGATGAGGATTTTAAGCATCGCCATACATTTTTTAATAATATCACAACAAAGAAACTCATAGGGCTACCTGTGATGCAGTCAGTAAAGCACGTGTTTTTGTCATGTAAACTGGTTGATTCGCCTGCGAGGAAGATCCTTGTTCTAGTATTTGTTGTTTGAACAGAGCCATAAGATCCTTGTTCTAATATTTGTTGTTTGAACAGAGCCATAACGTCTCATCTTCAAACCTTTGGAAGTACATTGGTCATTGGACTATCAGCCGAAAGGGTTAATTTGGTATGCACCAAAACAATTCCCTACCAATTATAAACAATTATAAAATACTTCAAAAACTTATTAATAATTCATGAACATTTAGACCTATCAGGTCCTTCAAATCCATCACGTGCATGGATCTTTATACCTGAAAATAGCTCAACATGGATATCTATCTATAAAGATTTTAAAAAGTGATAAAATTCTATTGTTTAAAATATTTTTCGACAGAACAAAGAAAAAGGAATGTACCAGACGTTAGTGGGGAGGGAATTTCGGACCGACACTAAGAACGACTGCAATGGAGACTAGTGCACTGTAGTTTTCTAGAGATATAACTAAATATTTAATATTAACATCATTTTTGAATATGACAGATGGTTAACACTCTTGGCTTGTTCTTATCACAAGAAGAGAGAAATAGATCGCGATATGCTGTGGAAAGTAAAGAAAAACTACACGATGTATATGATCCAGATTTGTATGTTCAAGGCCTACTGAAGGTAACGGAGTACTTCGTCAATGCGGCAGCCATCTTGAATCACAAGGCTTATGGGCCATCAAATGGGCAAATGGACAAAAATAGCGTCGGCTAACATTTACGGTTTATGACTAGACAATTTGACAAGAGATAAATTAAAATAAATGGACAGTTTCACAAATGAAGAAATCTTTCAAATGTTTTAGCATTTTGGTTTTGTTTTCCCCTTGGACGACCATAATGACTTGCGATTCAAGATGGCCATCGCATCGTCGAAGTAGTCTATTGACACTATTTTGCCATGATAACCATAATTCCATATTTACTTGATTTATCTTTTTAAGGGAGCAGCATAAGAAATTCCTGAAATTAAATCGGCTATTGACTGAAATATTTATCCAATCTAATTGCAGAAAGATAGCTTTCTGCCTGCTAAAGAAATTAAAATTTGACACTAAAGTCCACTTGGCACTTTGCCAAAGTCCAAATACGTTGTCAAAGTCCAAATATAAAAACGTCAAATATTTCTTTGAATGTTTGATTTCAGAAGTAAAAAATAAAAAGTTTTTAAAAATACATTATCACCTGACTTAAGAGCAAAACCTGTAGGAAACTCTAGCATTCGGTTCCTGCACGGTAGTCGAAAAGAAAGATGGAGAAAAATGAGCTGGAAAACTTCAGATGGTTGACTGCCAGGCCGGGTTTCTTACAATTACAGATACTATTGCAAACAAGAGAATTAATCAATAATCAATGGTTAAAGACCTTCCCCTTTCACTCACTAAGGCCCCGTCCACACGTATCGGGAAATTTGTGTATCCGCAATTTTTTTTTTTTTTGGCGGATACGGGTTGCGTCCACACGTGCCCGGAAATTTTTGTATCCGTATCCGGAAATTTTCGAAAACGGTCTCCAGAGTGGAAATTTTCGAATATGCTCCGAATACGGATACATTTGGACGGTCGTATCCGCAAATGTTCGAATACGCTGACGTAAACACGACTTTGCGCATGCTCAATAAAAAAACTATCCGTCAAAGGGACTAGGCACTAGTGTGCATGAGGGCGGATCAAGAAATTTCCGGATACGTATGGACAGTGAAAACGATTCGAATACGCTGCGTGTGGACGCGAACCTTTTCGTATCCGCCAAAAACACTTGCGGGTGTAAAAATTTTCGGATACGTGAAAGACGTTCCTTCGTAGGCGTGGTTTCTTAGAAGGAATTCCTTACTAAACGATTGTCCGTGCTATTCAGCGAGCGTAAGAGTTATCTAGGTTCGTCTATATAAAGTTAACCCTAATTTCCTATTTACATTTTGTGACTAGATATATAGTCACTTCGGTTTTAATTAACACAGATGGTGTTAATTTATGTTCTGCCCAGGAATGGAAATATCAATTAACCACCAATGGTCCCTAGCTATCTGTAAGGTTATAAATATTCGATTATTTTAGGAACAAAATTATGAATTTGTCTGAAAATGAACCAACGTAACGTTGTCGAAATATTCCTGACGAAGACTGGAATTTTGCTTTATATAACAGAGGCCTAATGAAATTCAGAGTATCCGAGGGGAAATTCTCCGAAAAAACTATGGTTTGTTATTATGAAATGGTTTCTTCTTATTTTTAATTATATTGCCCTCTTCTCGCTTAAGGATGAAGACGGTTCCTTTGCTCTACCTGTCAAGGGGATTATTACCAGCCAATTTCCTTCCACTTTGATTGATGTTGACAAAATGGAAGTCAAACAAACCTGTCCATATCATGAGCACTGCGTCATACGACAAGAATTTTTGGATATTGAACTGGCATTGCTCTGGGAGAATCAAGAAGATGCACCTGTCTACCCATCCCTGTGAGTTGCTTATTGCAGTTTTGCAAAGTTTACTCTTAGCATAGCATAGTCACAAGCGCCTTTCTTTACTTTGTAATCCACGGTATGCAGCTCTAAATACTAAAGCAAATTAATACAAGCAAATTAAACAATGGACTGCATATAGGCTGAACCCTATGCATTTTTAGCATTTTTACACAARTGAATATAATATATCCGGCGCGTTCATTGTTCACAATTTAAGTATTTTGCTAGGTGAATATAAGGCGCATGCGCACGCTCGTTTGGCGATGTGTGCTTTTTGCAGAGATAAATGAAATTTGAAAAAAAACTCTCCGTTTATCAAATTCACAGAATTGTTAAGTATTAGATTGTATCTTCACTCCACTGAAATACCTATCACCTACGGTATCTCGCATATCCAAAAAATTAATGGTTACCGATTGAATAGAGTGACCACAGTAAACCGTGAAACTTTAGTAATACTAAATAGCACAATTTCATGCAAATTCCATTGTTTTCTATTGTTTAACTAGCACTATTTTGTACTATTTAGTAATTAGTGTTTCACGGATTTCCTGTGGTCACTCAACTCCAGTTTGTGTATTAAAATATTAAGCTATTCAACCAAAACCCGTGGCACATTAGTCAACTCGTATTGTTCC